TACTCCTTTTCTAACTGTCCTGTGATGTCAGTTTAGTACACAGCCAGTGGTCTTACATGCAAAGGCCTTTTCTTACTCTGTTCTGTTCCATTGGTCAGTTTTTCTTTGTGACCAAACAACAATGAGCTAATTACTATGTCTTTCAGTAAGTCTTAATATTTGTACGTTTTCCAGCTTTGTTGTTTCTCTTGGGTATTTCTCAAGCCAGCTTTTAGCTCTTGTATACCATTTATATTTTAGAATCAGTTTGATGATTGCTACAGAAAACCATCAAATTTTTGGCTAGAATTTTGTACTGAATCAATAGATTACTTTGAAGCAGACTCATCTCTTTATATTACTGAGTCTTTCAATCATGAGCATGATATATCCCTCCTTTTACTTAGGTCTTCTTTAATTTCTCTCAATAAAGATTTATGTTTTTTAAATATGGAGACTTTTCACACTTTTGTTAGATTTACTTCCAAGTATTTGACTTGTATGATGTTATTTGAAACTCGAGTTTTTAATTCACTTCTATTTGTTGCTGGTATATAGAAATACAGCTGATTTTCAAACACAAATCTTGCTAAATATCCTTGTTAAAATCAACTCTTCATTTTGATATTTGTAAATTCCTTTATTTTTTCTGGTCACAATCATGTAATCTGTAAATAATCACAGAGGGTTTCCATAAAATTTGCATTGTTTCTTTGGTAGCAATGTTGGAAGGATTCACTAGTGAGACCATATAGGAATAGGCTTTTCTTTGTGAAAGTATCTTGATATGTCCACACACAAACACACACACACACACACACCCCATTCAGTCTTGTCTAACTCACCGCATGAAATTTACTACCATCTTATCCTACTCTCTGAAATACACAGGAAAACAAACAAAACTCTGCCTAATTCTCAGTCAGTGCTTCTTACATATTTTCCCACGAAAGTATGTTTAATAATTTGAAGTCTCAGTGTTTAAAGTGTCATAAAAGTTTTTCATTTTCCTCCAAAAAATAGACATATTTACTTTCCTGTGAAAACAAAGCTGCAAATAATAATAATCAGGTAGCAGTTATACTTCAGGGAGATATATAACCTTTACATCCACTGGCTTTGTGCTTTTGGCATATATCACATCGTCCCTTGGATACCATATTCCACCTTTGAGAAGTACAGCTAATTCCGACAAAGTCCTTATATTTCAACACTGATGTCCTACTTTTTTCAGTTTTCTTCTTTGGATCCATAAAGTAAGATGACATGTGCACCTGCAGAATGGAGGTCTTCTGATCCCTAATGGGAACATAGTGCCCACTTAATGCAGACAAGCATGTCTGAAACTAAGGGGCTTGATCAGAATGGGTGCTGTGCACCTATCACCAGAGAAAAGCTGAATTCTTGAAAGTCAAATAATACTCACTATTTGTGTCATTGTAGGGGGAAGATTTTAAAAACAAATAATGCCATGCAACATCCATTTTATCAAAACAAAAACACTGGGAGATTGATCTACACAAGTCAACAAATTGAATATATTAAAGTGCATTTGGTTTGTGATCATTTATTTATATTCAAGGCATTCTTGGTTTCCAACTTCTGCTCCTTTGATGCAAGTGACTTTGGCAGCTGGCAACTGAACTGTAATTTCCCTTCTGTCGGAGAAAGAGCTATTTAATGCTACAGGTCAAGACATGCCAGAGTGAGGAGTAAAGGCTGGTCTACGGAGATCAAGAGTTAAAACCTTCATATTTCATCCAAGCTAAGTCTATCCAAGCTTTTAATTTCATATAAAACATTCATTCTGGATGTCCTCTAATCTGTTATATATCAAACATATAATTTTTTTGCAAGAACATTGTTTATGTGGGGAGGCAGGGTTGAAGTACTGTAAATTATTCATTAATCTTGGTCATTTATTATAGAGCATTTGTTTCTTGTAGAAACTGTTTTTATTTTTCAAGCATCTCTCTTTTATCAAGAATTTCAAACCCCATTTTCCCTGTCAAGGTCAGAACACCCTATAACTAGAGACAGCTGAAAGCCAAGTTCTATCTGGTGAATAAAAGAAATGTAATTGTATGTGCGTGATTAGACACATTTAAATTTATTCCCAGTTATACTCCCTAAAATAAGTTGTTGGTGTTTTGATATAATTGGAACAAACCTTATAATAGAAGTCTTTCTGTAACATAAATCTAGCTTTAAAAAACATATTCTTCTCCCTTCTAAAAATCTCTAATGGACCACCGCAAAAATCTTGCCTTATTTCATTCCATATTGCCTCTCAAAATATAGAGGTAAAGGATCAACATTTAGAAGTTTACCATCAGGACAACAAGCATCTCCCAAAACCATCAATGCTATATTAAAACAAACTTTGAATCTCTGAGTATATAGTTTTACAGCGCTTACTTTTTGAACATTATTTACTCAAAAAATATAACCATATCTTAAATGATAAAATTGAACACAGAAATAAATTACATCTTTGTAAATTTAACATATCTGCACACTTTTAAGAATTCATTCAAAATACTGCTCCGTGTAGTTCTCTGTGCTCTAAGTAGGATAAATCCTTAGGGCAAAAACAATTGAAAATATTGTTCAATCTTGAACAATATTCAGTAGGTTGGTGGTAGTATCAATAGAATTTGTGCTGTGTGTCTTATGGGACGAACAAATAAGTAAATACATCGATGGTGTTGGGTTATGTACATACAGAGATGGGGCAAGAGAGGACCAAAGACAGAGGGCCAAAGAAAGAGAGAAAGCAGGGCCGGGCGCGGTGGCTCAAGCCTGTAATCCCAGCACTGTGGGAGGCCGAGGCGGGTGGATCACGAGGTCAAGAGATCGAGACCATCCCGGTCAACATGGTGAAACCCCGTCTCTACTAAAAATACAAAAAATCAGCTGGGCATGGTGGCGCGTGCCTATAATCCCAGCGACTCAGGAGGCTGAGGCAGGAGAATTGCCTGAACCCGGGAGGCGGAGGTTGCGGTGAGCCGAGATCGCGCCATTGCACTCCAGCCTGGGTAACAAGAGCGAAACTCCGTCTCAAAAAAAAAAAAAAAAAAAAAAAAGAAAGAGAGAAAGCAAATACGGCAACACGTTAACAACAGGTGCATGGAGCTAAGAGTATAGAATTGTTCACTGGAGAGTTATTTCAACATTTCAGTAGGTCTGAAATTTCTCTAAAAGCAGGAAAAAAAAAAATCCAGGGGTTGAAATCCTTTCTTCTCACCTATTGTTAGCACCCAAGCCAGGATTCCCTGACTGTCTAATTCCAAGACTTAGTCTGTAATCAAAATTGACAGGAAAAACATGGAATATCTTAGATGGTTAAGATGTCAAATATTTGAGCAACCCATATTTAAGCCATTCACTAACCCACCTGACGCAGCGAGAGTTGTTGTCCAGTACCCCCGCCACGCAGGGCACACGGCCTGAGCACCAGCCCTCAGGTCACCCAGCTGACGGGAGGCGCTCACTAGGGCTCCTCAGCAGGTGTGCCGAAAGCCACACCCTAAGACTCTGCCAGACTCTCCACCTGCCGCTCCTTCCCCAACCCCAGAGTCTTCCTCCCCGTTTATTAGTGTAAATTAGTGGTAATTAACACCAGCAGAATAAACTGTATTGATTTCCCTCCATCTCACTGCTGTCTCGACATCATTTTTTTAAAAAACACACTCCATGCTAAAAGGCCTCCTCGTTCTTATCTAACGGAATCCCACCTCATGATTTCTTCATAATTAATGTGCACAAGAGATCAGCCAACCCCATATAAAGCACACTCTGTGACATCTTTGTTTTAACACTGTCCACTTGCATCTGGAGGGCTGGATGTTCTATGCTACAATAATTACGACATTCCTAACACGCTCATCTTGTTCTTTCAGGACTATCCTTCAACAGCAACCTCATTCCCTCTTCCAATTACTTACTTCAAGAGTTTTACAATGTGTTGGAGTAAAATTTGGATATGCAAACAGGTACCTGGTCGGAGGTACCCATGGAACCTCACAGCTCACACGGTTTTGACTGTCATGATGTGGACTCTGGGAATTGTCTGAGCACCATGACCACCCCTGTACCACCATCCACCCACACATGCCTGCCACTTACCAAACCCACACCACACAGGTATCAAGCCTCAGTCCAGCAACCCATGTGAACGGCCGACGGCATCACAAGTTAGTCTCGAATGCTCCCAAGCAGCGGTTCTCACAGCACACCCTAGGCAACATCCAGAAAACCCAGTCGCTCCTGCCAGGGAGGACACTCAGATCCTTGCAGACGCCGGTTGTGTTCCCTCTGTCCACTATTTCCCAAGCTCCGCTCAGCCTCTTGTCAAACTGCCCTCCAAGCCATAGTTCTCAGGCCCAGCCAGCCTGGGAATGCAGTCTTGTCAAAAACCCTCTTAAAGTGTAATGCTCTCAGTACCTCAGGTGCAGAATAATCATTGTCTGTCAGGATGAGGAAACACTCTCCCTTGATAAATTAGGATCAAGGGCATCCTTCCTGCCACTTTGTTTCCATAACGCAGGCAAGGCTTCTGATCTACCGGGCTCTCTCCCTGGGACTAGGAAGGGGCTCTCTTCCCGCCTAATTTGCTTATGAAAAATATTCAATTATGTTCCAAGTTTAATTCACTTAGTAATGAAAAGTAAATGAGCCCAACCAGTGTGTTTAATTTGTCTTGGAAAGATAGAAACGGCTTTGCAAGAACAAACAAATTTAAATTAAAATAAGTGACTCTCCTCAAAGGTGGAAACTGAATTTCTCCCCAAAGAACTTCTTAACATCCATAAAACATGGTGCTGATGCCAGTAAGAGGGAGAGAGGCCTTGCTAAAGAACCACTGCGGCCTAAAGATGACACACGTGAGTATGCATGTGTGTGTATAGGTACATGGGTTGAAACTCATACCCGTGTGTGTTCTGTCTACCATGAAGCAGTGCAAGGGCTGTGCATCAGGGTGCAAGGTGCACCCTGTCACTGATGGGCATCTCACATACCATTTTTGCAGATGGGACAGCACTGATCAGGCTCGTACACAGGGTCCACACACTCCGTCTGGGGACACGCTGACACCGTGCACAGCACCTCACCGTTGGCTTCACAGCGACACCTCTCGCATGGAGACACCTGAAACACAAGTCCACAGTCAGTGTCACGACTGCTGTCATCTTTATCCTAAAGGGTCATGTATGCTTTTTTGAAATGGAGTCTTGCTCTGTTGCCCAGGTTGGAGTGTAGTGGTGTGATCTCAGAGTGTTGCAATCTCCACCTCCCAAGTTCAAGTGATTCTCCTGCCTCAGCGTGCTGAATAGCTGGGATTACAGGCACCTGCCACCATGCCCGGTTAATGTTTGTATTTTTTGTAGAGATGGGGTTTCACCATGTTGGCCAGGCTGGTCTCAAATTCCTGACCTTAAGTGATCTGCCCACCTCAGCACCAAAGTGTTGGGATTACAGGTGTGAGCCACCATACCTGGCCCTACAGGGCCATATTTTTCTTCCCCTAAACTTTCTGCAAAGAAACCTAAGTGTTTTAAGAATGTTAAAAAAATAATCCAAGCTGATGGTTTTGAGGGTGTGCACACAGGCATGCTGGGTATTGAGTGAGTTGCCTTATGTGTGAATGCACAGGACGGGCCACAGGGCTGTGACGTTCCCTCTCCTGTCCAGTCAGAGCCACTGTTTAATTCGTGGTCTGCATATTAGGTTTTTTAATAAACTTTTTTTTGAAGAAGCATTTTCATCTATTTAAAAATTAAACAAATAAAAACTTGCTGCTGAATTCTTGCCCATCCACTCACCACGTAGGTGAATCCCTTTTCTATAGCCCTGTCAGGTCTCCCCCCAGCCCCACATGAAGCACTACCAGTGTTTCCAGTTACAAAGACCCTGGAGTAGGAAAGGGGAAAGGGATGAAGGAGAAACAGAGCATTAAAGCCAGGCTGCGGGCTAGGGACTGTATGAATATTTCCTCACTGAACTTTTGCAGCAGCACTAAAATACATGTACTCAAATTACTGACCCTTTGTACTGGCAGGAAACTGAAACTCAGAGGTGTTAGGCAACGTGTCATGGGCAGGTTTGCCCTGCGAGGACGAGGTCCCTTTCCACTGAGGGCTCCTGACTGTGAGTCCACGCATGGTGATTCCAATATCCTCTGGGGCCTCTCCCAGTCATTTCACCCTCTATCCAGCATCACGATGCTCTGTTAGAGACCCAGCTTCCATTTGCCTATCTGTACCTTCCAGTCATGGGTTCAAACTCTGCCTTTTTGAGCCATCCAAATCAAGCATACCAGCTATTCCCGGGAAGGCTGTGCATGGCCAGTGGAACCCTCCACAGTCACTCACATAGCACGTGGGGATTTATCCCCTGATTATCACCAGTGGAGTGATTTTTGATCTGGGTTAACCCAAGACAAAGCAGGAACAGCATATGCTGACCCAGCCATGAGAAGCGAAACTGGAAAGCGGGGATACCTATGGAAATGGGTCATATCAAGCTCCTTTCCCAGGGGCAGGGAGACCCCCAGTTGACTTGTGTGCTCCACATCCATGATACAAACACCACTTGGAAGGTGAAGAACATGAACAACTCTCACAGATGCTTCCTTCATCTACACAACGCAAACACCAAAAACTGAAATCTCCATTGAGTGGACTGGCTATAATGAGAAGCAAAAGCTCAATGTGGGTTTAACCATGTCTCTTTCGGAGGCACTAGACCACAGTCAAGTTGCCTGGGAGTGAGGACTAAGGGTGCGTGTATGTATACTTGGCCAAAAAATTCTAAAAAAGAAAGGAAACTGACAAACGTTAGAGTGGCCTGAGACAAAACACTAGCTGGTTTGCAATGTAGCCTTGCAAGGTGCAATCAGTCCTGAAACAATAAAAGGCCTGTTTTTGACATGTGTTTTGCTATTGTTGTTGGCACAATTAGGTTTTTTTTGTTTGTCTGTTTGTTTCTTTTTTTTTTTTTTTTTTTTTTTTTTGCTGCCATAACCAGTGTTGCTCTTTGTGGTTGCTGCCATCATTGTGGGTCTCATTTCTTTCTTTCTATCTCCTACAAATATCCCCAGGTCAGATAGCGAGGTCTGTCCTCGCAAAGCAGTACAACGTGGCAACCACTCCTTGCCTGGGCATACGCCAGGGAGGGAGTGGAAAGCACCATTTCCATTTAGGAATTTAGAGGAAGTCTGTGGCATTTTTGTCTCAAGGGGGATATACATGTAGGAAGCAGAATGAGAGAAGGATTCTGAAGTTTTCCTTTCTTTTTGTTTTTTGAGATGGAGTCTGGCTCTGTCACCAGGTTGGAGTGCAGTGGCACGATCTGGGCTCACTACAACCTCCGCCTCCTGGGTTCCAGCAATTCTACAGCCTCAGCCTCCCGAGTAACTGGGACTACAGGTGTGTGCCACCGTGCCTGGCTAATTTTTGTATTTTTAGTAGAGATGGGGTTTCATCATGTTGACCAGGATGGTCTCTATTTCTTGACTTCATGATCCACCCACCGTGGCCTCCCAAAGTGCTGGGATTATAGGCATGGGTCACTGCACCTGGTCAGATTCTGAGTTTTAAAAGCCAAGACCTTGAGTTGCAAAGACATGGTTTATTGCATGTCAGAAGCCTTCAGCTGGAAGGACTCAGAGCATAAGCCCTCAAGCCCAGGTGGTGTGGATTACATGATGGAGAGCCAGAACAGCGTGCCCTAGAAGAGGGAACACCATCCCCTATAGAGATTAAGATAGCAAGGAGCAAGAGGGTCAGATAGCGAGGTCTGTCCTCACAAAGCAGCACAATGTGGCAACCACTCCTTGCCTGGGCATACACCAGGGAGGGAGTGGAAAGCACCATTTCCATTTGGGAATTTAGAGGAAGTCGAGAGTGTGCCCTATGTCATATCACCAGGGAGGGCCTTGGGATACAGCAGGACCAGAGACGGATGTCCAACTGCAAAGTCAAAAAGGTGCCAGGTCCTTAGGCAGCAGGCCCTGAATCAGCCTCGTCCAGCAGCGTTCTGCATGAAGGCGCACATCTTGGCAAATGGGGCAGAGATCACTGGCCTGGAAACAAAACACTTCTTACTGCCACTGGAGCTGAAATTTCACTGAATCCGTGCCACAGATTACTGCTCAAAGGCATGCACACAGGCCGGCATGCTATTTTCTCAAAGGTTTCATAGCTTTCTAAAAAATTTGATTGTTGGTTATATTGTCATTAAATATCTAGAAATCCTGATTCAACTACAGTCATGTACCCCATAACTGGGTCACAAAGGGACGGCATATGTGACCTGGTCCCGTGGATTACAATACCATATGTTTACATATCTTTTCTATGTTCAGATACAAAAATACCATGTGTTACACTGCCTACAGTGTTCGGGGCAGTAAGGTAACATGCAGGTTTGTAGCTTGGGAGCAACAGGCTATAGCATATAACCTAGGTGTGTAATAGGCTGTACCATCTGGGTTTGTGTAAGTCCACTTTATGATGTTCACACAATGATAAAATTGCCTAAGGATGTATTTCCCAGAATGTTTCCCTGTCATTTAGTGATGCATGATTGTGTTTAGAGATTTGTTCACTTCTAAAAAAATGAGAGTCGGTGCTTAGAAGGAGGATCACCGATCAGGCCTCGCCTTCTGCTGCCTACGTCTGCCTTCACCAGCACCCATGCTGGGCTCCTATGCCATTCCATCCCAGCTTCAGGCCTGCATCATCCCAGAGGAAGTAAGGCTGGTAACAGCAAGTGGCAAAGCTGTGCCAGCCCCTCAGATGCCAGCCAGGTGTCCTGCTAGTCCTGCCTGGGCAAAAGCCCTAAAGATAGTCATGGGCCCTGGGTAGGTAGAAGTCAGAGCTTCTCATCTGATAAGCAGGTTCCAGGACCATGCCCACGATCCAGGTCACATAGTAGAACCCTGCCTTCCTCTGGTTTATGTTCCCATCTTCTGCAGGCCAGCTGTCCTAGCCCTGAGGTAGCCCCAGTCCCAACCCACGAACCCACCTTCCAGTAAAACCTTCTTGCCTCACAGTCTCGGAGCACCTGCTGGGCCACTGGGCCACTCCCCAGTGTTAGGCCCTGATCATTGATCAGGCTTCACCTAACTAAGCAGGTGTACCCAGACTCAACAGATGAAAACAATGCCCCATCCTTTTCAGCCATATCAACCCCTGGAGCCTACCCTGCCATGCTCCTTGCTTGGTGAAGCAGTGGCCTATACCCCCTCAATGCTGTCCTGTCTCCCTGGAAAGGCTCACATTTGATAAACTCCTACCTGTCATGGATCCAGCTCAAATGTGGCCTCCTCTGGGGAGCCATCTTCGATATCAACAGGGATCAGCTGGGCACTTGCCCTCCATTAAGACATCACTTGAGCTCAAACCTAGGCCTTGCATAGCCCTCATGTAGGGTAGGGAACGTTGTTAAAATAGCAAAACAAAACAAACACAAAACCCAGTGCCCACATAAATTCAGCAGCCAGCCGAGGAAGATGCAGCCTCACTACATCAGGGAAGAAAAGCCACCACTGAACTCCATACCTCAAGTCCTCCAGGGACATGTGACAGAGACCCAGCTGGACTCCGTCCAGCTCTTCTCACGGCTCCAGTCCGTACACTGCGTAGGCACCCTCATTCCAACACGGGGCTCTGCTCAGTGCCCCAGGATGGCCACTGTACACTCAGAAAAGCAGCTCCCTGCTGAGAGTCCTCCGGGACAATGTGCTAGTGCCTTCCACCTCCTGAGAGGCAGAGCGTCTGCCAAGGAGCAGATGGAAGCTACAGCCGCATCTCCAGCCATGGGCTGCAGCTTTGACATGAGGCTTGAATCCTCAGTCATCGGGGCCTGTCTGGCATTCTGGGTCACGGTGACCCTCTTTTAGGCTCGTTTCACTAACCTATGGCTGGAGCCCCACGGGCGTGGTCAGTAGCTCCAGGAAGCTGACCTAAATGTCTGGGAGTGAGGTTCAAGATTTGCCTGTCCCTTCACCTGGTCAGACACCAAGATGCTGCCCTGACTCTAAGCACCAGATCTGAGCACCCCCCAAGCTGATGGTTCCCCATCTGCCAACTCAAGCCTTGTGGGCTTTTTTCCAGGCTGTGCTCCCTGTCTCACATGGAAACTAA